ATGGAATGCACTTGTGAAGCTATCTAGTTCTGGACTTGTCTTTGTTGGGTACGTTTTAATTACTCATTTAGTCACCTCATATGATTTTGGTCTGTTCAGAGTTTCTATCTCTTCATGATTCAGTCTTAGCAAGTTATGTTTCTAGGAATTTATCCATTTCTTCTAGGTTGTTCAATTTATTGGTATGTAATTGTTTTGTTTTTAATCCTCACCCAAGGACATTTTTCATTCATCTTCAGATAGAGCAGAAGGGAGAGAGGGAGAAAGAAAGAAAGAGAAACATCGATGAGAGAGACACATCGAGTGGCTGCCACCCACACGACCCCAACTGGGGCCGGGGACAAACTACAACCGAGGTCCAGGCCTTTCTCGGGAACCGAACCTGGGACTCTCTGATCCACAGGCCAATGCTCTAACTGCTGAGCCAAACCAGCCACGGCTGTTTTGTTTTGTTTTTTAATTTTTTGTTCTTTATTGATTTTTAGAGAGAGAGGAAAGGAGAGGGAGAGAAAGACAGAAGCACTGATGAGAGAGAACATTGACTGGTGGCCTCTTGCATGTCCCCCACTGGGCATCAGGCCCACAACCTGGGCATGTGCCCTGACCAGGAATCAATCCGGTGACCTCTTGGTGCATGGGTTGGCTCTCACCACTGAGCCACACCGACCAGGCTTTAATTGTTCTTAATAGTTCCTTAAAGTCTTTTAAATTTTCGTGGCGTCATTTGCAATGTTTCCTCACTCATTTCTGATTTTGAATCTTCTCTTTTTGTTCTTTGATTAGTCTACCTATGGGTTTGTCATTTATGTCATTTCAAAAAAACAAAAAACATCTCAGTTCCATTGATTTTTTTCTATTTTTCATTTTATTTATTTCTTCCCTAAATGTATTCTTTCCTTCCATCTGATAATCTTAAGCTTAGTTCGTTCTTGAGATGTAAGGTTAGATTGTTTATTTGAAATATTTCTTCTTTTTTGATATAACTGTATTTACATTTTATTTTTATTGCAGAGCCCTGGTCTAAGAAAGAGCTGAGACATAACTGTTTTTCAAAAACATATTTATTGCTTGATCAGAGCATGGCCAGTGACTGCTCTAAAGGTTTTTACATTTTATCTTTAAAGCATTCTTTGAATTGCTTTAATATTTTACATTTTCAGAATCAGCTCAAACAGTTCTCTTTGCTACTACTTATAAATTTACACATGTTTATGGTTATGTAAATTATTCCTTCTTTTGAATTTACTCTCTTCAGTAAAGTAAAATACATATTAAATAAAAAGTAATATTGATGAGGTTATTAGGGTGATATATCAATGACTGACTTTGTCTGGGTCTTCCTTCCTTCCTTCCTTCCTTCCTTCCTTCCTTCCTTCCTTCCTTCCTTCCTTCCTTCCTTCTTTTCTTCTTTCTTTCCTATAAATAAATGCACTCATATTTATATACATGTATGCATATACCTTCATATATATAAATATTTATATATACATATGTATAGAAGAAAAACTTTTCTTGCACTAAAAACTTTTATAAATGGTGTAATTTTAAAAGTGAATATAATCTTAGCTGAAGCAATTTATTCCTACCTATGTCCTCACAGAATCAATCACCTCTTTTTTCTTTGTTGAGTAAAAGAATGACCTGCTGTAGCTGACCACACATCAGTTTCCTGAGATGAAACTTGTTGGATAAGAACATGATGAATTTTCCCATTTCCGTGTGTCCAATCAGTCTGTTCATTGTCTGAAAGCACACCCATGACTGAAGACGTCAGTTGTTTCTCTCCAGGTTTTCCAGTAGCCTTGTGCTTTAATACAGCTGCTGCTTTGCATTTGAAAACTAAATCAGCCTCAATATTTCATAGTCTTTTTTATCTTGGGTTTATGATAATGACATGTTGGCTACAGAAATCTCCATTCAGAGAATCCAAACAGATTTTAGCACCTGTTAGCAGGTGTAGAAAAACAAACGACTCATTTAAATTTTTCCATTCTTTTAAATTTGCTCATCTGTAATTTAAATCACTTTGTCCATGAAAACAGTTATAGAAAATAAAGTCAATCCTCATGCATTTTTATTTTGATTTTATTGTTATATTGTGTGAATTATTAGCTTCTTTTTTGCAAATCTCAATTTATTGACCTCTAAAATAGGATGAGAACATTATTTTTCTGAGTCTTCAAATGAACATTTCTGTAGTAACAAAAATATCACAAATTTCTTTATAATATTGGTGTCATTCTTGCAATGAAAAAGAAAAAATTTCAAAATTTGGAGTACAAGGAGCAATGTCCAGTTTAGGATTTAGTTACCAGGGGACACAGAAAACTATTTCCCAGGTTCTGTTTTTTTTAATTCGGAAAATGAAGTGGTTGTCCTTAATGATCTCCACGGTTGCCACTGAAGCTGGACTTCTACATGTCACTGTAAGTAAAAGCTGTTCCACTAGACGAATTCGTGGCATATTATTATTACTAATTATGGAAGAACCCCAAAAGAAAATTATACTGAAGTTATTAACTACAGAAAAATCAAGGATCATATTTTGATTTTCCTTGTTAATATTGAGTGAATAGTTCTTCACTGGAATTGCAGTTGCAAAAGTACATGTATATTTGGGTCTATTAATTATAACATTTAAATATATGCAATACATATTTCATAAATAAAATAATAAAATATTTTTAATTATTTTTTTCTTTATTGAATTTTAGAGAGAGAGGAAAGGAAAGAGAGAGATAGAAACATTGATGAGAGAGAACATCAATTGACTGCCTCCTGCATGCCCCCCACTGGGGATCGGGCCCACAACCTGGGCATGTGCCCTGACTGGGAATCAAACCAGTGACCTCATGGTGCAGGGGTCGATGCTCAACCACTGAGCCACACCGGCCGGACAATAAAACATTTCTTGCTCAAAAACTATTTATAGATTTCTGTTTCATTGTTTTCTAAGATATCACTTAAATGTTCATGGCACATGAATCACTAACAGAGAAATCTGAATGTCATTTCTCTTTTTTCTTTTTTTTTTGTTTTATCCTCACCTGAGGACATTTTTTGATATTTTGTTTAGATAGAGTGGGAGGGAGAGAGAGCGAGAGAGACATCGACGTGAAAGGGACACATCGAGTGACTGTCACCCACATGACACAACCAGGGCCAGGAACAAACTGCAACTGAGGTATGTGCCCTTAGGGGGAATTGAACCCGGGTCTCTCCAGACCGCAGGCCAACGCTCTAACTGCTGAGCCAAACCAGTCAGGGCTGAATGTCATTTTTCTATTAACAAAAAGGAAAATAGAAAGTTCTCCATCTATTAGAATACTTAAAAGTGGAAGCAAGACCACAAGGTTCTGTTGCAGAGCAAAAAAAATTGATAGCAAAATGTAAATAGATATTGTCTGGGCCTGTGTTGGATGGGGGAATAGGTGTACTGGAATAAAAAGAGATGGATACAAATTCTCTCCCTCCCCTCCCCTCCCCTCCCCTCCCCTCCCCTCCCCTCCCCTCCCCTCCCCTCCCCTCCCCTCCCCTTCCCTTCCCTCCTTCCCCTTCTCTCTTCCCTTCTCTCCTTCCTCCCTTCCTTCCTCCCTTCCTTCCTTCCTTCCTTCCTCCCTCCCTCCCTCCCTCCCTCCCTTCCTTCCTTCCTTCCTTCCTTCCTTCCTTCCTTCCTTCCTTCCTTCCTTCCTTCCTTCCTTTTCGTTTAACTTATTGTCAACTTGACAGCAAGTGTCAACTTTACAAGTATATTTAAGGATGCATAGCTATGTTTTTGAAAAATGTTCTGATTTAATAAATAATTTCTATTTGAGTATATCTCTGCATTTACCTTGCCTGAACACCCCTCCATTTGACAGTAACCTCCAGCTTTGTTTACACAGTCTGCTCCCACTTCATCCTGCCCTTCAGAGTTCTTTCTCAGTTTTGTATAGGCCAGTTCTCAGCTTTCTTTTCTCATTGAGCACTTTCTCTGAAAGATATTCCATTAATTCACATAGCCTTAATTGTTATTACTTATAAAACAGTCTAAATTTTTCATAGTAGACAGGCTTTTAATGTTTGTATTTGCATTAACTCTTTGTGGCTGATTTCAGAGTAAATTTGAATACAAAGTATACCTAAGTTTCCTTTCTCATTAGGAAAATGAGTGTATTTTCAGTATACTTCCATTTATTATTTTAATATGTTTTTATTGATTTTAGAGGGAGAAAAAAGAGAGCCAAGTAGAAACATCTATGAAAGAGATACAGATGAGAGAGAAACATTGACCAGCTGCCTCCTGCACACTCCCTACTGGGGATAGAGCCCACGACCTTGACCTTCCCTCTTGGTGCATGGGGCAACACTCAATCCTCTGAGCCATACCGGCTGGGCTGCAATGTGTAAATCTTAGGACAAGAATGAGACAACATTTGCGAATGGTTGGAAAGAACAGTGGATATCATCCTGGAGATAAAATTATTTTCAGAGATATGAGAGCAACCTTCAAACAATTTAAGGAAATGATTCTAAGGAGGGGGATAAGCCTACATTCCTCCTTAAGTGTTTTAAAATCTGGAAATAGGGAGATACGTATTTCCAAACTAGTAATTGTTTACTCATATTACTCATCATGAAATTTAATGTGTTATTGAAATGATTCAGAAGATTTTTTTCTGCCTTGTTTATTAAAAGTGGGCACAGATTTAAAAAGCTTAAGATATCTGCCATGTTATTAGAAGAACCAGGGAGTCAAAAATTTTACAAGCAAAAGAAAAAATTGTTAGACGATTATATAATTTTTGTCTACCCAAGTGGGTAAAATAGGAGAGAGTAACCTACATTTGACGTCATATGGGTAGAAGGCAATCTACGAAGCAGGCACTAAACGGTTACTTTTTTCCTCGTGTTCATAATTCAGTGTTTGGGCAAGGCAAAGAAGAAGAAGATATGTTATGGAAGAGATACTAGTGTTGTAACATATAAAACCTTTTCTGATACAGAGAAAGTATGTTATAGGTCTAGGAATCCGATGTCATCACTAAAAGCCAATGACCCAGCTGCCTCATGCCCATCAGGCTTTATTAATGCTCTGATGGCAGAAGGGCAGCGGACACTCGATGTCCCAAGTCTGTGCTCCTTGGTGAGCCCAAGGAGGATGCGTGGCTGGCATCCCACAACAGTCTCAAAGGGACATGGCTGCTGGAACTGTGGCATCTGTGGTTTTTATCTGACTTTCAAGCTGAGACCTCCGATTGGGGAAAAAAAGCTTAATGAAAGACATTTTATATCTTTTCTATTAAATGTTATTGATACTTATTTGAAGCTAGATTTTGTGTTTGGCATTTAAACAATGAAAGAGATGTAAAATATAGACTCTGCCCTCCAAGAGTTCACCAGGAAATTGGGGAGGGGGCAAGATGAATAAAAACTTACCATGCAAGGAGGCAAGTTTACATTTGTAAATAGATTTAAATGCACTATAAATTATAAAAGTTGTTTCTCACATGTATTCTCCCATGTAAGTGCACACACACACACACACACACACACTGATTTTGACTATGGTTGTGTATATGTGTATGTGTAGGAAGGGTCATAATGTATATGTAGTTACTATCTTTTTTTTTTTTTTTTATTTTGTACGTGCCCCTAGCAGGAACCGAACCCAAGACTTTCTGGTCCATAGGCCGGCTCTCCAACCGCTGAGCCAAACCAGCCAGGGCATTAGTATCTTAATGTAAAGGTGTGCTGGGCTAGGGTTTTACAGAAGCTATAGTTTTACTTCCCTTTGATTCCCTGTCCCTAATGAAAAATCAGTTAGATGACATCGACTAACCCAGGTTAGCCTGAAAGTTATTTTTATTTTTTCTGCAACTCTATAAAAGTATTGAAATGATATTATGAACATCTTAGAGGATATGAAAATAATATGGCTATGAATTTAAGAATCTTTTAACAGGATGAAAAGTCATGGGCATAATACCCTGGCTGGTTAGGCTCAGTGGTTAAATCATCAGCCCACAGACCAGAGTCGTGGGTTCAATTCCCAGTTGAGGGCATATATCTCTGTTGCAGTTTGACCTCCTGCACCTGTCAGAGTCAGGCAGGAGGCAACCAGTCAATGTGTCCCTCTCACATTGATGTTTCTCTCTCTCTCTCTTCCTCCTTTTCTTCCACTGTATCTAAAAAAAAAAAAAAAAAAATCATTGGAATAATATCTTTGGGTGAGGATTAAAAAAAAAAATTCATAGGCATGATGAATTAATTCCATAGTGCCGAGCTTCAGAATAGATTTAAGTAAAAGAGCATTAATACATTTGTAATACTTTTTATTGCAGTTTTGCATATACTTTAATATTTGAAGAATTTCAAAGTCATGAAATATACAAGAATTATATTTTAAGGTAATTTAGTTTAATTTTAATGTTTAAAAGTAACAAAATTGGATTTCAAAATTTAATGTAATGAGAAATTGGTACAAATAGTGGCGAGTTTGTTTTACATAGAAATTTTATTATAAATTGTATTAGATTTATCTGAGCATGACAGATAATCAACATAATTGTGAATTAATAAACGTGTTTAATTTTTCTCTCACATAAAAGCTCAAGAGGTTTTATTAAGGATCAATTACAAAATCAAAAAGAAGGAAACACATTTACAATTTTAAGTAGGCAAAAACCAAGATAAATTGCAAGGTGCTTGCTGCACCAGAGAATGCTGACATTACTGTGTCGTAATTCAGGGCGAGTTTACAGGTCTGCTCCGGAGAGCCCGGTGCAGCAGCAGCTGACACTCAAATCCCACCACGGATGGCGCAAACGTAGGCTGTGATGCTAGGAAACTCTTGATAAAAAAATGTCAAGTAGAGAATGCAAAACCATCTCAGAAGACAATGTTAAGTGGGTTTATCAGGTTATCTTAAGCATCCTCTAAAGGTTATCTCTGTGGGGCTCGAAGACACTCCCTTCATCAAGATACGGAGTGAAGCGTGGAGAGAGGAGGGCAGGGATCCTTCGCGATAACGGAGTGAATGGCGGTTTCCATTCTGCCCAGATGCCGGTGAGAGATGCTGACTGAAGGGACGGGAGGGCTTGGTGGCAGCATTCCCTATTCCTGGGCAAGCTCCGTGCTTTACCAGAATAAGCAGCAGTTTGCAGAAGTCATTGAGACTGATACAATTAAATGGGTCTATTTTTTATGAACTAATTGATGGCAGGGTTCTAGGAGCAACACAGAAAATAAGGCTAATTAAGTTCCATGTGATCTAAATGAACAGCTACAGTAACAACGGCAAACCTAAGACTGGGAAGAGAGACACCAGCCACCCACCCGGGAGATAGGATGCTCCTACCCTCCGTCCCCATGGAAACATCAAATAAACCACTGGAGACGGGCCACTAGAACCGCCTAAGAGTTCTGCAAGTCGTCAAAGATCTTCAGCAACCAAGAAAATGCCTGATGAAGAAAAAGCCTCCTTCAAAACGGTAGGAAATGCTGCGGTGGTTTTGCTCATTCCTGTTCCACGCCCTTCCTGGCAAGGCCAGTTTGGGTGTGGGGAAAAGAGCATTCGAGTCCCTGGTTCCCTTCCAGGAACTAGAGAGAACACCGCAAGAAGAATGTGTGACATTATAACCTGTCTGTCGTTGCCATGAGGCTGGACCTCACCCCCCTCAGAGTTCAGATGGTCAAAGCGGCGCACCCAGGCCTCAGGCTGGGAGAAGCCCGGGAAGAACTGGCCTGGCCTGGCAGGTGTCTGGGGTACGGGATTACTAACTGAGAAACCCAACAGCTAAAGCCTGAGACAAAGCAGGGGTAAGACTCTTAGGAAAACCAAGACATTTAAAAGCAGCTGTACACATGAGAGGATCAGGGAAAAATAAACAGAACAGGTCCAGGGAGAGTCGTGCCCAGAAAACGCCTGGGAAGACTTTAAAACTACACTTATATGAGCTAGCCACTGCAGTCAGATCCGTAGAGATGGGAGGCAGAAAGCTGGCCGGCAGGGGTGTGTGCGGGGGGTGGGTTTCTTGATAAAGGTGAGGAGTTCCAGTTTGCAAAGACGACAGAACTTCTGGCGATGGGTGGCCGTGGTGGCGCCCAGCGCTGTGAATGTACATAACTGCCACTGAGCAGTACACTTAGGAGTGAATACAATGGCAGACTTTATATCATGAATATTGTGTCCTGGCCGATTTGGCTCAGTGGTTAGAGCGTTGGCCTGCAGACCAGAGAGTCCGGGGTTCGGTTCCCGCTAAGGGCACATACCTTGGTTGCAGTTTGTCCCTGGCCCCAGTTGGGGCTGTGTGAGTGGCGACCACTCAATGTGTCTGTCTCACATTGATGTTTCTCTCTCTTCCTCCATCTCTCCCTCCTGCTCTGTCTGAAGATACATGCAAAAATGTCCTTGGGTGAGGATAAAAAATATATATATAAAGAATATTTTACCAAAAAGAAAAAAGTCTAGATCTGTTGAAAATGGGCTCACTTGAGCCATTGTAATACAGTCACTAAATTCTTTTTGTTCCAAAATCTGATACTATTTGTAGACTCAGGGTTCCTGAAATAAAGGGTAGCCCATGAAGCTTGAAGAACAACTGTATGATAAAAATCATACATGTGTGTCCCAAATCTCCCCAGTCATTTCTAGAGTCATCTGACAGGTAGCCTGTGGGTTCCTGCACACCACCTCTAATCCAAAATGATTGCCAATGCTTTGAATTCAGAATGCCACTGTAACCACATGCTACTCACTGTGTTTAGGTAAAAAGTAGGCTTTGACTCAAGCCTATAGTTCAATGGCACCAGTAGGTCCATAGACTCATCTTGTTTTTATTTTCCCAATTTCTTTCTATATAGTTAGAATAATTATACTCAGCAAATGGGAGAAGCTCTACTTTGCTACCTGATATGTGGAGTGAGGGTTATTGTACTAGGAATACATTTTGAAAGGCCTTGGAGTGTCCTCTTTTATTAAAGTCATAAGCAAATGTAAAACTGCATCCCTTGTGGTACTGCAGAGATTATTGCCTCATTCAAAAATTTGAAGATGCAAAGATGGGGATTCTCGTGACACCCTCATTTAACACCTTTCAGTGTCTGCAAAAGAGAAATGGTCTTGGGAGAAGATAGTGGATTGGTGTGCATTATACCAGGTGGTGTCTTCCACTGCAGCTGTTGCTCCAGATGTGATCTCTTTACTGGAGTATATAAATACAGCCTTTTATACTTGTTATTTGGCTGTTGCTGATAAACTTTGTGGAATTGATATTACAGTAACAGCTCCTAATAAATTACCCTTCTCCTACTCATTTTCTTGTTTAATCCCTTTATTCATGAACTCTGAGTTTCACCCTGTGACTTGATTAGGCCAAAGGGATAGTAGAAAAAATGATCCAAGAGGTTTAAAGAATGTTTGTGCATTAGGGTCTGCCTTCTCTTGCTTGTTGCTTTTGCAAACTAGTCAAAAAGAAAGAAACTTCGGTTAACCTGATGAAGACATGTGTTCCAGACAAAAGCCAGCTTCAATTTCCATGCAAAATTACATACGACGATTATGTCACAAATTGGAAAAAAGGAGAACATGGCTGTGATCCCCAAGAGAATGGAAGCAAACAAGATGAACCCTATGATTTCATGGCATTCCAACTTCAAGAAAGGTGCATATATACCTCCTGAGGCTGCAAAGTAGGGTCAGGGTTTCCAAAGCAAGATTGGTCTACTGTCACTCTAAGTTGGGAAGACTGAGATTGAAGTTCATGTAGAACAAAGCAGATTTTGGGGGTCAGGGTACCAGAAAAAAACTGGTCTATGAGGAAGAGTTTGAGTTATTTTTATAGAGTTTCTTTGATTTTTTTTTTTTTTAAAGAATATCAGTCTATGCAAGTATAGAGTACAATTCCGTGAAGACAGATACAGAATAACTTTCAGAGTAAGAACAAGAATCCATAAGCTTAAATATCCCCAAAGCTCACTCAGGGCCCAGGAAAGCAGTAGGCAGAACAATTAATGAAACTCACACAGAGTTGGGAATAGTTTGTGTTTATACAGCTTTGAGTGGAAAGACCAAATAATGCACGGGCAGAATCTTCAGAGTTATGTCAACTCAGCAGTCAAACTGACTTTCCACTGACTAAAAAATACTCTGGCTCTGTGCTAACAAAGTAGAAAACTATCTTAGAAATGATTAAACTAATTATAAAAAATTATGTGAATCTAAGAACAAAATCAAACAATAATTAAAGAAC